GCAACCACTCAAGACACCCTAGTGACTGCATAGCAACTTCTCAGAGCACCATAGCAACTGCATAGCAACTACTCAGAACACCCTAGCAACCACACAGCAACTGCTCAGAACACCCTAGCAACAACATAACCACCAAAACCACCCTAGCAACTTCTTTTAACACCTTAGCAACAGCATAGCAGCTACTCAGAACACCCTAGCAACCACACAGCAACTGCTCAGGACACCCTAGCAACAACATAAACACCAAAACACCCTAGCAACCACCAGAACACCCTAGAAACAACATAGCAACAACCAACAATACTCTAGACAACTGCATAGCAACCACTCAGAACACCTTAGCAACTGCATAGCAACTACTCAGGACACCCTAGCAACAACATAACCACCAAAAACACCCTAGTAACCACCAGATCACCCTCACAACTGCATAGCAACATCCTGGACAAACTCCATTTACAGCAGAGCTGCCCAGTCCTGTTCCTGGAGCTTTCCAGCCCTGCTCTGTAATGATCCAGTGCTGCTGGAGACCTCCAGGAACAACTGACACTTTGCATTATTTGTTCCACTCTAGTTCATCATTAATTTGTTGATTTATTACCATCTGAATACTCTCTCTCTCTCTCTCTCCTCAGGTGTGTTTGTGCAAGTGTGTGGAATTGTCCTCTCCAGCCATTATCACCATGGCAACATAAAGCACCCAGCCTCTTCTCTGCAGCTCGGTTACTATGGTAACATGATGGGCCTCAGGAGCATCTAATGGCTCAACAGCTCTCAGCTGATTTCATCTGATCATTCCTCCATCAGCTCATCATGTGTGTGTGTGTGAGAGAGGTCAGTAGGTCAGGATGGTCTCGACTGTCAGACCCCAGGGAAACATGTCATTTCTAAGATGTTACTCTTTTATAACTCTCTAGAGTCTTAACTTTATGCTCAGTTGTGTTTCATGTAAGTATGGACTCAGATTCAGATTCCTCTGGAGGAATAAAACAGACTCAAAGGAGTCAGTGAGCGTGGAGCGCCGAAGAATGAATGCAGAGCAGCTCAGATCACCTGATGAGAAATGAGTTCATATCGAGACAATCGTGCAATCAAAAGATCTCAATATGAACTCCCTCACGTTCTCGACCAATCTGAGCACAGTTTGAGACATTGTTGAGATCAGTTTCCTTTCAGTAAATGCTCATTTCGAGGTTCTTTGTTTGAGTTCTGATCAGAGTTTCCCCAGCTGATGCTGCACTAGTTCATCCCCATCATGTCTGCATGCAACACGCTTTTATGCGCAGACTGATGTTGGACTGCAGAATGACCTCACCTTGTCACTGGTTGCCAGGAAACCGTTTCCATTGGCAACAGCAGAAGTGGAACAGAGAAGAAAGAGAGAGCATATCATATTATTGAAGGACAGCGAACCTCCGGAAGTCCATATAGAGAGGCCGGATGCTCTCAGAGTTCAGCTGTGCATTGCACGGTTCCTGTTATTCACCGCTCGGAAGCTTTTGCGCAGGTTATGCTTCACGAAGTGTGTCATAATCAAAGCATTCTTCACGTCTGTGATGCTTGAGTGGTGATAGTTCATGATGTGCACTGCTGACTGGAAGCTTTGAGACTATAAAGGGATAGATCAGCCACAAATGAAAACCCTGTCCTGGTGTGCTCCCCCTCAGGATCCAGTGTTTGTCTGCTGTGATGCTGGAAACACTGCCCTCTCCTGACCACTGTTTCTGAGGATGACACGCTATATGTTACCAGAGCTTTATCATGGATTGTATGCACCTAAGCGTTAACATTCAGTTTTATACAGTGCAAACAAAGAGTTTCTTCCTCTGTGTTTTTGTCTTGTTTTCCAATTCTAATATTCAAGTCAATATCTGCAGAAAAAGAATCTTGTTTTCCTAATGAGCCACGTTTGTGTGGCAGATTTTCTTTTTTTCTTGTTTTAAACATTAATTCTCTTAATTTTGATACATTTTTCAGAAAACAAGACTTAATATCTTAAGGTCAAGGTCAAGGTCAAGTTTATTTATATAGCCCTTTTAAAACAACATAAATGCTGACCAAAGTGCTGCACAACATACGAGACAAAAACATCCTCATACAATACAATTTAAATTAATAAAGTTAAAACAAAACAAAACATTACCATGCAAAATAAAACAAAATTAAGCATATGCCTGAGAAACAAAATGTGTTTTAAGAGAAGATTTAAACGTGGATAGAGTAGGGGATAGTCTAATAGACAATGGTCTAAGTCATCTTGCTTCTTAAATAAATATATCTTTATTTTAAAAAAAGTTTAGTTATTTGAACTAGAAAACAAGACAAAAATACTGAGTGAGAAGATCATTTTTGCAGATACAATTTAAATTAATAAAGTTAAAACAAAACAAAACATTACCATGCAAAATAAAACAAAATTAAGCATATGCCTGAGAAACAAAATGTGTTTTAAGAGAAGATTTAAACGTGGATAGAGTAGGGGATAGTCTAATAGACAATGGTCTAAGTCATCTTGCTTCTTAAATAAATATATCTTTATTTTAAAAAAAAGTTTAGTTATTTGAACTAGAAAACAAGACAAAAATACTGAGTGAGAAGATCATTTTTGCAGATGCCGCTACACAGTAAAAATTATTTTTCGAAGTCCTAAATAAAACAAAGATTATTTGTATCCTATTTTCTACTACTTTTTAAAATTATCATTTAATTCGATGTGTCACTTGCTGTTGGGGGGGGGGGGGGGGTAGGAAACTATTTCTATTTCTACTAAATTTCACTAATAACTACAGTGTATGTCAAAAGATTTTCAAATAAAAAGTAAGATGTGAAGCATCACAAACGTCAAGGGATTGTAGGCCAAAAAGCATCGCTTTTGCAACTCTGACCTACTATTTTAATTGATCCTGCGGGTGTTTAGCATGAACTCTCCATTTACACAACATCACTGGGTCCATCATACAGACACATGGCTTCTCCTGCCATTGCTATGCTGAAGACACACAGCTCTATCTTTCATTTCAACCAGATGATCCAACGGTAGCTGCACGGATCTCAGGCTGCCTGGCAGACATCTCGGCATGGATGAAAGAATATCACCTACAGCTCAACCTGGCAAAGACTGAGCTTCTTGTCTTCCCTGCCACTCCAACTCTACAGTATGATTTTTCCATCCAGCTAGGTTCTTCTACAATTACCCCATCAACTTCGGTCAGAAATCTTGGTGTAACTTTTGATAACCAGCTGACCTTCAAAGACCACATTGCAAAGACCGCTCGATCTTGCAGGTTTGCATTGCACAACATCAGAAAGATCAGGCCCTTTCTAACGGAGCATGCTGCACAACTTCTTGTCCAGACCCTTGTCATCTCTAGGCTGGACTACTGCAATGCTCTTCTGGCTGGACTCCCATCAAGCACAATCAAACCTCTACAAATGATTCAGAATGCAGCGGCACGACTGGTCTTCAACGAGCCCAAAAGAGCCCATGTTACACCTCTCTTCATCTCCTTGCACTGGCTACCGGTTGCGGCCCGAATCAAGTTCAAGACATTGATGCTTCCATATAGAACAGCCACAGGCTCAGCACCCGCCTACTTCCACTCACTACTACGAATTTACATCCCCTTCAGAAGTCTGAGATCCGCTAGTGAGCAACGCCTCGTGGTACCATCACAGAGAGGCTCAAAATCACTTTCCAGAACATTCTCGTTCACCACTCCTGGCTGGTGGAACGATCTTCCCACCCCTATAAGGAATGCTGAATCCCTGACAATTTTCAAGCGACAGCTGAAAACTCATCTCTTTCGAAGCTACTTGACTTCATCATAAAAAAAAAGAAATTTTTTTTTAAAAAGTATCTCTCTCTTTATTTATTCCTTCTCTTTCTAGCTTGTACTTATTTGAACAATGTCTAAGAACTTGGTATTACAACCACTTCTTGTGTCTGTTTGCCTCTTTAAGAAGAATCGCTTTATGTATCCCCCAATTGTAAGTCGCTTTGGATAAAAGTGTCTGCAAAATGATTAAATGGAAATGTAACTCAGTCTCTCTGAACACAAAGCCATTTTTGAAAACGTTGATTAATTTGCATGAGAACTAGTTTTGACTTCTGACAGCATGATTTATACTGAGTGATGCTACCATAAAGCATCCCGAACCGAGACCAGCTGAACCAGTTCTTCTCTTCTGAGCACAAAAGAAGACTTTTTGAAGAATGTTGCTGGTTGCCTTTGACTGCCATGATATGAAAAATATTAAAATACTATACTAATACTAATAATACCGGGGAGCAAACGGTTCATACAGGCTTGGAACAACATGATGGAGAGTAAATGATGACAGAATCCTCATTTCTGGGTGAACTACTTTAATCTTTAACGTCCTTAATAATGTTATTTACACTATTTCATATATGCATTTATATAAGGTTATATCACTTATTTATACATCACTCATGGAACTTTTTTTAGTTGGACGTTCCTCTAAAGTTTTTAAATGTATCTATTTGTTTCAGAGAATAGTCAAATGTAGCGTTCCTATAATATCTGCTAAATGATACAAATGGAATGTTGCGATAACGCTCACATAACCAATAAAAGAGTTTTCAAAGCATTAAGAAACCGGATGTTAGGTTAGCAAACGTTTAGCAAAATGTTCTTAATAATCATTCGTTTCTGAGCTTTACAAAACAAGACAACAGAAGTGCATTAATCCTGAAGATCAGCACAGAATAAATCAATCAAACACAGCTAAAACTGATTTGCTAGAAACAATTAAAGTTTTAATATAGCCACTGCTGATCCATATGATACTGTATATACTCATATATCAATTACAAACACCTTTTTTGTGCTGTCGTTACAGAGAAATGTGCCTAAACATATATTTGTGAAAGAAAATCATAGTTTTACTAAATAACATTCAAATATGACTGCTGCGCATGCGCGGTGCGGCTGCTCTCCGGCCGCCAGGCGGCGCTGTTTGATCCGGTTCGCTCCATGCTCGCTTATTTCCGTGTTCCGACCTGCACAAGGGCAAACTCTTCTAGTGTCGCAGGCATGGCTCGACTGCTGCTCAGAGGAGCTGTGAGAGGATATTTCACCTCGCCGCTCCGGATGGGATCCGATCAGGTAACTTACTGAAGGCTCGTGAGGTTCAGAAGCTCTCAGCATCAGGCCTCATCTGTGTTCGAGAAACACTCGTGCCTGTGTGAAACCACAGCAATAGTGCATAAATGACTAAATGTTACATGTAAATAAGAAATCATGTGCATTTATGCATTTTAATGTGTTAGAAAGACAAAGCCTTCAAAAGCTGTAGTAATGCATGGTTTAATAACCCACTGAGTGATCATTCAAATAAACGTTATGTATTAGAGGTAAAATATGATATAAATACTGTTTGGTTTCTGGCACAAACCGATCGTTTCGTGTGTTAGGACATCAATGTGTCATCACGAGCCGCAGGGTTTAATTTGGATTTGTCTGCGCATGTTTTTTTTACTCTCATAGATTTTGTTACCATTGCCATGCATTATATGACTGACAGACTGCAACGGTTAAAGTTAAAAATCATCGTTTGTGTTCTACTGAAGAAACAAAGTCACCTACATCTCGGATGCCCTGCGGGTAAGCAGATAAACATCACATTTACATTTTTGGGTGAACTATCCCTTTAATGTGTTCATCAGTAGTTGACGCAATGTTGAGAAAACACTTCTTAAAATTAAAATGATTTCTTTAAATCCAGTGCTCAAGTGCTGTGTGGCCTAATTATAGTCACCTGACTCGTTACTGGTCTTTGCATGAATGTGAACACTTTCTGAGTATGTATAAGTGGAGCAAGGTTTTTTTTTTTTTTTATGACTTTTTGTGTTTTCCGATAATGAACTTTAAACGATATGTGTTTTTGCGCTGGTTTAGGCCTGTGATGGATAAATATAACACTAAAACCACCATCAGGTGGCGCTAAATCCCTGTCTTAATGAGTGATTCATTAAATCATTCATTCGTTCAAATCGTTCAGAACCGAAGCGAGCCACTGTCTTTATGAATGGATCATTGAATGATTGCTTCATGATTAACAGATTCGTTCAGGAACGAAACACCAGACGCACGAATGTTCTGCTTCGGCTTCGTTTGGAACTAATATAACAATATTGTTTCTACAATGTAACTCGCTCGATGAGAGCTTCTTCTTTGTTGAGCGGTTACTGTTGTATAAAATCAATCGTGATTGCGATCACGCTCATACGCTGATATTCTGGAAAGCACTCTGATATTAAATAACTATATAATATCAATGCTTTTGGACTCTCAAGAGGTGTTTTTGTTTGTTTCTCGCAAAATAAGTGACATGCTCGATAATGTCAGCTCGCATGTAGATAAAACAACAATTACGATATTATCGTAGACGATAAATATCGCACACCCCTAAAAAGTATAAATGTAATATGTTCAGATGAGAATGTGTTCCTCCTACTAGTTAACTTATGGTCTGTGCTTTTATTTTTCTTTATAATTTAATTTAGTGATTTTAATTTTCTATTTGGTAGCCACCTGTTTACATTTTAACCCCTTTTTTTTGCACGGCACGTAATGTTTAATTGCACACAACTGACATAGATGTGTTTGTTCTCATTGCCTTCAAGTCACACATTGTTTGGAGGAAACACCGGGAAGAATGTAGAATAACAGGGGTTTTTTTCTTTTTTCGTTTGTGCGATTAATCGAAAAAATAATCGATGGATTAATTGCTTTTCAAAAGAATTGGTTGTTGAAGCTTTAAAATATTCCTCTAACAGAGTCAGTGTGATTATAGCATGTTTACAACGGTCTCAACTGAACGGGTTTTCAGATTTCATCCGATTAATCGAAGCAGTGCTCGCCCGATTAATCGAAGCAGCGCTCGCCCGATTAATCGAAGCCGTGCTCGCCCGATTAATCGACACAGTACTCACCAGATTAATCGACACAGCGCTCGCCCGATTAATCGAAGCAGTGCTCGCCCGATTAATCGAAGCAGTGCTCACCAGATTAATCGAAGCCGTGCTCGCCCGATTAATCGATTATCACACCGTGCCGTCTGTGTGTCTGCAGCTGGGTGAGCTGGGCGGAGGAGCGGGGAAAGGCGGAGGAGCGGGCGGCTCGGTGAGGGAAGCTGGAGGAGCCTTCGGGAAGAAGCAGGCCGCGGAGGAGGAGCGCTACTTCAAGTGAGTTTCAGTCTCATCTTTTACATCATATTATCTGTGGACTCGAAGAGATCGCCTAACACGAGCAAGTCAGATCAAGCAGGTGCAGACTCGTGTCAGAACTAATGATGAAGCGCTTCCACAGGCAGAAGGAGAAGGAGCAGCTGATGGCTCTGAAGAATCATCACGAAGAAGAGATCGACCATCATAAGAAGGAGATCGAGCGTCTGCAGAGAGAGATCGACAGACACAAGGGCAAGATCCGGAAGCTGAAGCACGACGACTGAAGCTCCACCATCATCATCATCATCACGTCTTGTGCCTGAGACCGTCTCTCTGTAACCGCCGTCATTCGCATGATTCCATACTTCAGGAATAAACCAATGTTGAATAAACCGTTTGAAATGATTTCAATCTGTTGCTGGCATGAAAAATAAAGCACTCTTGAGTTTATCTGAAGCACAGACCTTTGATTCATTCATGCCGCATACAGTACTTTTGTGATGTTTATGGTGTTTCGGAGTCATGCATGTTTGAAACAATGACAGGATTTCATATCTGGGTGAAATATGCTCATTATAGAATTTTTAACTGATTTTCTTAAATTGACTTTCTTAAATGCAAAACATAAAAAAAATTGTTACTTGGAAAAAACTACTTCCAGTTAGTTTCTCGTTTTAATTTAGTTTATCTTAACTTTCTCTAGTAAAATAAACTTAAACTGAAAGGGCCCTCGCACCCCAGTGGCCTTAGGAATACTGAACGGTGAGCAATGTGCATTTAAAGTGCTAAATATAAGAGGAATATGCCAAAGTCATTTATATGTGCCAAAATCCCTGCTGCCAGTAGGTGGCGCTATGACTGAATATTGGCATGTAAATGTCTTCAGGACTTTAATCAGATTTGACTGCATGCTTGAGTTACAGCAACTTCCAGTTTCTGTGTATTAATAGCATACTTTAGCACTTAGCTAAGTGTTGCTAGCCTTAGCACTTGCTGACACTTTAATATGCTCCTAAGAGTCCATAACCGTGTTAACATTGTCACTTCCTGTTGCCAGCAGGTGGCGCTATGGCTATAACTGAATATGGACATGTGTTCAGGATAGTGATGGGAAGTTCGGATCATTTTACCGACTCGGACCTTTGAGTCTCGTTCAGCAAAGTGAACGAATCTTTTTTCGAGTCATTTCGTTCATTTTAGCAAAATATAATTAAAATGTTACGTGTTCCCTAACATGTCTACTACTCACGCAAACGTTGATCACTCTACAAACAATACAAAACTGCTATAAGAAACAGAAAAGATGAATTCATTGTTTAGCTGGGTCTTCAGTCTGTGATTAGCTCAGCTCTTATCTGACGAGTCTTCGGGTTTGAGCGTATGGGGCTGTCACGTGATGAACGACCGACTCAAACCCGAAGACTCGAGAGGTGAACTACTGGACTAAACCCAGGACAGAACCTATAGGATGCTGCGCATGCGCGACTGAACGAATCACTCCCCGAGACGACTCGTTCTTCCCGAGTCACATTAAAGATTAGTTCAAGAACGACCCAACTCTAGTTCAGGACTGAACGCCTATCAGACGTGTGAAGTTTGGGGCAGATCGAACATCGTTTGCCTGAGTTACAGCAACTTCCTGTTTCGTGGCGGAACTTCGAACTTTGTAAGGCCGCCAGGGATACGCCCGTCGACGAAAACTCAAGATCGTCGCAATTTAGCATCGCAAAGGCCCTACGATTACCCGCACCAAATTTGAAGATGCTCCGATTAAAACTGTAGGAGGAGTCCGTTAAAGTACGAGGCCTGAAAATGGCAAAAACGGCACAAAATTTGCAGAAACAAAGCAAAACACGAACTCTCGCGTGGCTCCAAGAGACTTTTGTGTAGGTATTGGGACATCACATGAATGCACTGGATTGGGTACGCGTACGGGAAGTGTAGTGGGGGGGGTGTGTGCCTAGATGCCTTATATTGGAACATATTGACGTAAGCCATCCGCCATATTGGAAGGTCAAGTTGACGTCATTCACCATAACCGGTGAATATTGGAGGAAGCCACATTCCTCTCGCATTCTGACCTGTGAACACTGTTTGAGCAGTCTTCTCTAATATCCCTCCGCAGAGAAATAGATCCGTTCCCGCTCATCATATTAGCTTTTCACACATAAACCTTTATAAGAAATGGAGTTTGCATCGAGCGACTTGTGTATAACTAGAGAGCACAATATATGTTCTGTTTTCAGGCTTTTTATATCTAAGCGTTAGTGTTGATATTAAGTCGTGTTTTTATTTATTACACATTTTGCACAATTACATTGCAAGACAACGTCCAAAGGCAAACTTATCCACACACAGAAGAGCACGATTCTAAAGATGCAGAATGCAGCAGCAAACATTCTAGAAGTTTTTGAAGAGATAAAGTAACAGCCTTTAAAGGATCCTGTAGAACAAGAGCTCTGGAAGCATTCATGAAAATTATTATGGTTATGTTCAAATATATTCTGATGCATCGAAAAATATGGAAGACAAAGTAGGTGTGGCATTCAGTATCCCAGAATTTAATGTGAAAGTCAGTAAAAGAATCACAGATAATCTGTCAATTTACACAAAAGGTGAAGTGATTGCAACTGTGCTGGCATTGCACTGGGTGGAGGAACATTAGCCAACGCGGACACGCATATGTTCTGATTCAAGCTCATCTTTACTTACAATTAAAACACGTCATTCAGAGAGAGAGCAGATGTAATGATTGAGATCTCCTCAAGGAAAATAAAGAAAAACTTAACTTGATGAACATTTTGGGGAATAAATCAGGGGATAAAAACTTTCAATTTGTAATGCGTTATTTAAAGGACACTGGATTATATAATAGAATTTAGTGAAGAGTACGGTCCTAATCAGTAGGTGGCGGTAATGCACCTAAAAGTTGTATGCCATCCGCCATTAAACACCAAGAAGAAGAAGAAGAAGAAGAAGAAGAAGAAGAAGAAGAAGAAGAAGAAGAAGAAGAAGAAGAAGAAGAAGAAGAAGAAGAAGAAGAAGAAGAAGAAGAAGAAGAAGAAGGAGCTCTGGAAGTAAACACAGCAGATCGCTCGTGCACGCGGAGCCCCGCCCCGCCCCGCACGTACGCGCTCCCGCGCAGCGTGCGTGGTGACGCAGCCGGTCCGCCGCGCGAGGAAGTGGCGCTGTTGTTTGAGCGACGGGACCGTCTCGCTCTGTCTCGTGGGCTCGTCTGAAGAGCTTTTACCGTGTTTCGGTGAGTTCCGCCGTTCGTGCTCCAGGACTGAGCGCGCTCCGCTGCTCTCTCGTGCCGCCCGCTCAACATACTCGCGGTGAGTGCGCTTTTGGCGGGTTTGTCTGGTTTGAATTGTGCCTGTCTGCTGTAGGCCGCGCGGCGCGGGAATCTCCGTCTGCCCGGTTTGGCGCTCTAACGGGTTTCTACGCGAGCGGCGGGGGGTGTGACGGGTAACGGGTGTCTCGTGTGAGCTAGAGATCACTAACGGCCCGTTACCAGCGCTAATGCATTCACAGACTGGCGCGTTAGCATCGCGTGCTGCTAGCCTCATGCGTGAGGGGGGCGGATCACCGACACGAGTCTGTGTGTGTGAGAGAGTGTGTGTGTGTGAGAGAGTGTGTGTGTGAGAGAGAGAGAGAGAGAGAGAGAGAGAGAGAGAGAGAGAGAGAGAGAGAGAGAGAGAGAGAGAGAGAGAGAGAGAGAGAGAGAGAGAGAGAGAGAGAGAGAGAGAGAGAGAGAGAGAGAGAGAGAGAGAGAGAGAGAGAGAGAGAGAGAGAGAGAGAGAGAGAGAGAGAGAGAGAGAGAGAGAGAGAGAGAGAGAGAGAGAGAGAGAGAGAGAGAGAGAGAGAGAGAGAGAGAGAGAGAGAGAGAGAGAGAGAGAGAGAGAGAGAGAGAGAGAGAGAGAGAGAGAGAGAGAGAGAGAGAGAGAGAGAGAGAGAGAGAGAGAGAGAGAGAGAGAGAGAGAGAGAGAGAGAGAGAGAGAGAGAGAGAGAGAGAGAGAGAGAGAGAGAGAGAGAGAGAGAGAGAGAGAGAGAGAGAGAGAGAGAGAGAGAGAGAGAGAGAGAGAGAGAGAGAGAGAGAGAGAGAGAGAGAGAGAGAGAGAGAGAGAGAGAGAGAGAGAGAGAGAGAGAGAGAGAGAGAGAGAGAGAGAGAGAGAGAGAGAGAGAGAGAGAGAGAGAGAGAGAGAGAGAGAGAGAGAGAGAGAGAGAGAGAGAGAGAGAGAGAGAGAGAGAGAGAGAGAGAGAGAGAGAGAGAGAGAGAGAGAGAGAGAGAGAGAGAGAGAGAGAGAGAGAGAGAGAGAGAGAGAGAGAGAGAGAGAGAGAGAGAGAGAGAGAGAGAGAGAGAGAGAGAGAGAGAGAGAGAGAGAGAGAGAGAGAGAGAGAGAGAGAGAGAGAGAGAGAGAGAGAGAGAGAGAGAGAGAGAGAGAGAGAGAGAGAGAGAGAGAGAGAGAGAGAGAGAGAGAGAGAGAGAGAGAGAGAGAGAGAGAGAGAGAGAGAGAGAGAGAGAGAGAGAGAGAGAGAGAGAGAGAGAGAGAGAGAGAGAGAGAGAGAGAGAGAGAGAGAGAGAGAGAGAGAGAGAGAGAGAGAGAGAGAGAGAGAGAGAGAGAGAGAGAGAGAGAGAGAGAGAGAGAGAGAGAGAGAGAGAGAGAGAGAGAGAGAGAGAGAGAGAGAGAGAGAGAGAGAGAGAGAGAGAGAGAGAGAGAGAGAGAGAGAGAGAGAGAGAGAGAGAGAGAGAGAGAGAGAGAGAGAGAGAGAGAGAGAGAGAGAGAGAGAGAGAGAGAGAGAGAGAGAGAGAGAGAGAGAGAGAGAGAGAGAGAGAGAGAGAGAGAGAGAGAGAGAGAGAGAGAGAGAGAGAGAGAGAGAGAGAGAGAGAGAGAGAGAGAGAGAGAGAGAGAGAGAGAGAGAGAGAGAGAGAGAGAGAGAGAGAGAGAGAGAGAGAGAGAGAGAGAGAGAGAGAGAGAGAGAGAGAGAGAGAGAGAGAGAGAGAGAGAGAGAGAGAGAGAGAGAGAGAGAGAGAGAGAGAGAGAGAGAGAGAGAGAGAGAGAGAGAGAGAGAGAGAGAGAGAGAGAGAGAGAGAGAGAGAGAGAGAGAGAGAGAGAGAGAGAGAGAGAGAGAGAGAGAGAGAGAGAGAGAGAGAGAGAGAGAGAGAGAGAGAGAGAGAGAGAGAGAGAGAGAGAGAGAGAGAGAGAGAGAGAGAGAGAGAGAGAGAGAGAGAGAGAGAGAGAGAGAGAGAGAGAGAGAGAGAGAGAGAGAGAGAGAGAGAGAGAGAGAGAGAGAGAGAGAGAGAGAGAGAGAGAGAGAGAGAGAGAGAGAGAGAGAGAGAGAGAGAGAGAGAGAGAGAGAGAGAGAGAGAGAGAGAGAGAGAGAGAGAGAGAGAGAGAGAGAGAGAGAGAGAGAGAGAGAGAGAGAGAGAGAGAGAGAGAGAGAGAGAGAGAGAGAGAGAGAGAGAGAGAGAGAGAGAGAGAGAGAGAGAGAGAGAGAGAGAGAGAGAGAGAGAGAGAGAGAGAGAGAGAGAGAGAGAGAGAGAGAGAGAGAGAGAGAGAGAGAGAGAGAGAGAGAGAGAGAGAGAGAGAGAGAGAGAGAGAGAGAGAGAGAGAGAGAGAGAGAGAGAGAGAGAGAGAGAGAGAGAGAGAGAGAGAGAGAGAGAGAGAGAGAGAGAGAGAGAGAGAGAGAGAGAGAGAGAGAGAGAGAGAGAGAGAGAGAGAGAGAGAGAGAGAGAGAGAGAGAGAGAGAGAGAGAGAGAGAGAGAGAGAGAGAGAGAGAGAGAGAGAGAGAGAGAGAGAGAGAGAGAGAGAGAGAGAGAGAGAGAGAGAGAGAGAGAGAGAGAGAGAGAGAGAGAGAGAGAGAGAGAGAGAGAGAGAGAGAGAGAGAGAGAGAGAGAGAGAGAGAGAGAGAGAGAGAGAGAGAGAGAGAGAGAGAGAGAGAGAGAGAGAGAGAGAGAGAGAGAGAGAGAGAGAGAGAGAGAGAGAGAGAGAGAGAGAGAGAGAGAGAGAGAGAGAGAGAGAGAGAGAGAGAGAGAGAGAGAGAGAGAGAGAGAGAGAGAGAGAGAGAGAGAGAGAGAGAGAGAGAGAGAGAGAGAGAGAGAGAGAGAGAGAGAGAGAGAGAGAGAGAGAGAGAGAGAGAGAGAGAGAGAGAGAGAGAGAGAGAGAGAGAGAGAGAGAGAGAGAGAGAGAGAGAGAGAGAGAGAGAGAGAGAGAGAGAGAGAGAGAGAGAGAGAGAGAGAGAGAGAGAGAGAGAGAGAGAGAGAGAGAGAGAGAGAGAGAGAGAGAGAGAGAGAGAGAGAGAGAGAGAGAGAGAGAGAGAGAGAGAGAGAGAGAGAGAGAGAGAGAGAGAGAGAGAGAGAGAGAGAGAGAGAGAGAGAGAGAGAGAGAGAGAGAGAGAGAGAGAGAGAGAGAGAGAGAGAGAGAGAGAGAGAGAGAGAGAGAGAGAGAGAGAGAGAGAGAGAGAGAGAGAGAGAGAGAGAGAGAGAGAGAGAGAGAGAGAGAGAGAGAGAGAGAGAGAGAGAGAGAGAGAGAGAGAGAGAGAGAGAGAGAGAGAGAGAGAGAGAGAGAGAGAGAGAGAGAGAGAGAGAGAGAGAGAGAGAGAGAGAGAGAGAGAGAGAGAGAGAGAGAGAGAGAGAGAGAGAGAGAGAGAGAGAGAGAGAGAGAGAGAGAGAGAGAGAGAGAGAGAGAGAGAGAGAGAGAGAGAGAGAGAGAGAGAGAGAGAGAGAGAGAGAGAGAGAGAGAGAGAGAGAGAGAGAGAGAGAGAGAGAGAGAGAGAGAGAGAGAGAGAGAGAGAGAGAGAGAGAGAGAGAGAGAGAGAGAGAGAGAGAGAGAGAGAGAGAGAGAGAGAGAGAGAGAGAGAGAGAGAGAGAGAGAGAGAGAGAGAGAGAGAGAGAGAGAGAGAGAGAGAGAGAGAGAGAGAGAGAGAGAGAGAGAGAGAGAGAGAGAGAGAGAGAGAGAGAGAGAGAGAGAGAGAGAGAGAGAGAGAGAGAGAGAGAGAGAGAGAGAGAGAGAGAGAGAGAGAGAGAGAGAGAGAGAGAGAGAGAGAGAGAGAGAGAGAGAGAGAGAGAGAGAGAGAGAGAGAGAGAGAGAGAGAGAGAGAGAGAGAGAGAGAGAGAGAGAGAGAGAGAGAGAGAGAGAGAGAGAGAGAGAGAGAGAGAGAGTGTGTGTGTGTGTGAGAGAGGGAGAGTGAGTGTGTGTGTGTGTGTGTGTGTGATTTGTTGTTTCTCTGATCATGAGCTGATGTTTAATGGATACTAATCACAATATAAATTGGCTTTCAATCAGTATATAGATTGTGTACATAGTGTGCGCGCGTGTATATATACGTTACATTTATACATACACACACAAATATATATTTATATATGTGAAATTACTTTATATATTAAAGTGTATAGTTATTTATATATTAATTAATATTTTTGTTCAATGTTAATCTGTATATAATGTGTATACACACACGCACAAGTGTTTATTTATATTTAATTTATATATTAAAGTGTTTGAATATATAGAGAGTGTGTGTGTGTGTGAGAGAGGGAGAGTGTGTGTGTGTGAGAGAGGGAGGGATTTATAATATAAATAAAATAAGGTTTATATGATATAAATAAAATAAGAATTATATAAATTACAAAAATGAAAGTGGTTATGTATTTGTATAAAATTATATAAATTTATGTGAATATATATAAACACTATATAGAACATTGTCTACTCTAGACTTATTTATAAATTGTTTACATTTTATATTAAAGTGTTTGTATTTTAATTATATGTTCATATTATATATCTGTATATATAAAATCTAAATTTCTATAAAGATACATTATGAACACTTCAGTATGTATTAGAGTGCTAGATATATTTATAAAAGTGTTTGTATTTATATATTCGTATGTAGTGAGCAGCAGGGCCCAGTTATAGCGGGGCCCCTCTCTGAACACAATAGTGGACGAATGTCGTAGACGCCTCTTAGAGGGCCAGAAGAAGACCTCTGGTACCGAGGACAGGACTTCTCGTTGGTCCAAATGCAGTTTCTACCCTTCACCCAGCTAGAGACTTTTGTCTCGGGCCTCATACGCTGCCTGTAGCTCCTTCGTGATCCTGTAGAGAAGCCTGGTTTGCTGTGATTGACGCTCATGTCTGCTGTCTGTGTGTCAGAGTAATGGCTGCTGAGGTGAATGGCAGCTCCGGTCTGCTCAAAGAAGAAGAGGAGCCCATGGATGTGACGGCCACACACTCGGAGAACTACCAGACGCTGCTGGACGCCGGTCTGCCGCAGAAGGTCGCCGAGAGCCTGGACAACATCTTCCAGACAGGTGAGACGGACCGTCTGGACCACATGAAACCAGAACTGAAGGAAGGTGTATTTGTGAACTGGACAGATTGGAGTGTCACTGATCTAGACTTGATGGATGAAGGAGGGTTTGGTGTTTGTTTCTAAATGGTGTGTGTGTGTGTGTGTGTGTGTGTGTGTGTTCAGGGCTGGTGGCGTACGTGGATCTGGACGAGCGGGCACTGGATGCGCTGCGGGAGTTTAATGAGGAGGGAGCGATGTCAGTGCTGCAGCAGTTCAAGGAGTCCGACCTCTCACATGTGCAGGTGACACTCACTCTCTCACACACTCACTCTCACACACACTCACTCTCTCTCACTCTCACACTCTCACTCGCTCTCACTCGCACTCTCACTCGCACTCTCACTCGCACTCTCACTCTCACTCTCACTCTCACTCTCACTCGCACTCTCACTCGCACTCTCACTCTCACTCACACACGCACACTCACTCTCACTCTCACTCACACACGCACTCTCACTCACACACTCACTCTCACTCACTCACTCACACACGCACACTCACTCTCACTCACACACACACGCACACTCACTCTCACTCACACACCACTCGCACTCTCACTCGCACTCTCACTCGCACTCGCACTCTCACTCGCACTCTCACTCGCACTCGCACTCTCACTCGCACACTCACTCGCACACTCACTCGCACACTCACTCGCACACTCACTCGCACATGCACACTCACTCTCACTCGCACATGCACACTCACTCACACTCTCACTCTCACACACACATGCTCACTCACTCTCACACGCACTCACTCACACACGCGCACTCACTCACTCACACACGCACACTCACTCTCACTCACACACGCACTCTCACTCACACACGCACTCTCACTCACACACGCACTCTCACTCACACACGCACTCTCACTCACACACGCACTCTCACTCACACACGCACTCTCACTCACACACGCACTCTCACTCACACACGCACTCTCACTCTCACACACACTCTCACTCACACACTCACTCTCACGCACACTCACTCGCACACGCACTCTCACTCGCACACTCACTCACTCTCACTCACACACTCACTCACTCTCACTCACACACTCTCACTCACACTCACTCACACACTCTCACTCACACTCACTCACACTCACACACACTCACTCACACGCACTCTCACATGCACTCGCACACGCACACTCACTCTCACTCGCACTCTCACTCGCACACTCACTCACTCTCACTCACACACTCACTCACTCTCACTCACACACTCTCACTCACACTCACTCACACACTCACACTCACTCACACTCACTCACACACGCGCACTCACTCACTCTCACTCGCACACTCACTCGCACATGCACACTCACTCTCACTCGCACATGCACACTCACTCACACTCTCACTCTCACACACACACATGCTCACTCACTCTCACACTCACTCTCACGCTCGCTCACTCTCACGCTCGCTCACTCTCACGCTCGCTCACTCTCACGCTCACTCACTCTCACGCTCACTCACTCTCACTCACTCACTCACTCACTCTCACACACACTCACTCACTCTCACACACGAGTGAAGTGAGTGTGTGTGGGAAGTCGTGGCCTAATGGTTAGAGAGTCGGACTCATAACCCAAAGGTTGTGGGTTGGAGTCTCATACCAGCAGGGATTGTAGGTGGGGGGAGTGAATGTACAGCGCTCTCTCCCACCTTCAATACCACGACTGAGGTGCCCTTGAGCAAGGCACCGAACCCCAACTGCTCCCCGGGCGCCGCAGCA